TATATATATAATTTTTCCCGAGATTTACGAGGTCCGATGACCTCCCTACCATATACGTAGGTCCGCTTCTGGAGGTACATGATATTCAAGTGAAATGTATTACATTTTCATTCCACTAAGAGGAATATAAGTCAAACCCTTTATTGGCTCCTACACTTTTGAGTGGTTTGGTTGATTGTTTAGGGTAATGGCGAAGTCAGAAATTTCCTTAATGGTATTCAAACTTAAAGAAATAAAATATTTTCCGATAAAGAGTGTTCAATATATGTTATATACCTCTAAAATCTAATATTTTACTTATACGTGTAGTGTAAATTTTTCGAGGAAGGATGATCAGTTGGCCACCCTTTGGGATATGTAGCTTCGCCCCTGATTTAGGGGACTGTCTAGATTGGAATAATCTTAATAAGAAAATATATTTGGATAGTTATAGTTCTACTGAAGATTTATAGGTTGAAGAACTATTTTTGAAAAATATGATAAAACCACTTTTTTATAAGAAAAACCTCAGTAGAGGACTAGCTCTTCAACTTGTTGCTAAAGGAATTCGTGTTAATGGTACTGTAGCTCCTGAGTCCTGGGCCAGCGTGAACTCCTGTGCTGTGAAAGTGGCAACCTTGCCGAGGAAAAAGTTTAAGCTTTAGGGGTGTGTTTGGTATGGAAAAATATTTTTTTGATTGGTGTGTATAAAAAAAATTAAAAAATACTTTTTTAGGAAAATAATTTTTAATTACTCTCCTCACCCCCTTTCCCAAAATTCCCATGTTTCTGTGCTCTCTACATTATGAAAAAAAAGTATTTTTTTGTTGAAATGAAATAAAATACTTTTTCTACATTATGACAAAAAAATACTTATTTTGCTGAAATGAAAAGAAAGTACTATATCTACAATATGAAAAGAAAGTACTCTTAATAATATTTCTATTTAGGTTGGGGTCGGTGGTAGGGTGTGGGTGGGTGGTGGGGGTAGTGGTGGGGTAGGGGTGTATGGGGTTGGTGGGATGGGAAATAGCGCGGAGAAAGTTGAAAAAGAGTTTGAAAAACGTTTTCCCTTATCTTGATAGGGAAAACATTTTTCTCCAATCGGAGAAAATGAGTTCGTGAGAAAAATATTTTCTAAAATATTTAAGCCAACTAAACATAGAAAAATTGAAAAATATTTTTCAAAAAATATTGTCCGTCATACCAAACACACCCTAGTATCTAAAAGTTTTCCGCCGTTGATGAGTTCTATGGCTGTCCAACGGGACGGGACGTCCCGTCCCGTCTCGCGTCCCGTCCCGTCTCGCGTCCCGTCCCGTCCCGCTTCAAGTTAAATGGGATGGGACAATGTTAAATGGGATACGGGATGGGACGAGACGACCATTTCGTCCCGTNAAGTTTATTTAATTTCTACTCTACTTAACCCATCTTTAAAACTAAGAGGTGCAAAGGGACTTGTTCGTAAAATTTATGAGAATTTAGAAATTCAAGAAAATGAACAACCATCTCTCGAAAACTGCCAAGCTAGCATATATTCTTATGCTAGATCAATGTTTGATAAATATAAATCTATGGATACAACTGGTTGTGAAACTGCTCCTTCTACTTCTAAGTCTAGAGCAGAAGTTTTATGGGAAGATATGGATGATATAACAGGTTTTGATTCCTCTATTGATGATGAACTTGATTCTTATCTTAATCAAGGATTGGAAAATATTAAAGACGAAGAAGGCAAGGAACAACTTTTGTCATGGTGGAGGGAGCGTGGCAAGGCTTTTCCAACACTTTCAATTATGGTCCGAGATATTCTGGCTATTCAAGCATCATCAGTAGCATCGGAGAGTGTTTTTAGCGCGGCAAGATTTCAAATTGGAGATCATAGACATTCATTAGCGGAGACATTCATTAGCGGAGGACAGTCTAGAGATTTCCGTATTATTCAGAGATTGGATTAATACAGAAAGAAGAAATCTTGGTTTTGAAAAATTAACCACTAGGGAAGAAGAAGAAGAATACAATGAGATACTAACCACTGGGAGCGATGACGACATGGAGCTCATGGAACATCAATCAACATTGCCAATTCCAGCAGAATGTCCGAGAGATATTATTGATAAGTTACAAAGAAGCTATATAGCAGCTTACAAATATTAGTATGATAATTTGTAATTGGCTACTAAGAGGCCTAGTTCAAACAGAACACTTCCTAGAAGGTGGCTGCGTAGATTAGTTGCTCTTCAAAAGAATTATATTTGTATTTGAGATTTGAAAGTTCTATTAATAAAATAAAAGTCTCTAAGCGTTGAATTTTATTTATGAATTGTCTTAGTTACTTAATAGTTAATACTTTGAAATTATATTAAATAAATTATAACTCTATTACAAATTTATAATTACTAGAATATTTCATTACAAGTCTTTTGTTTTAATACTTTATAACTCTTTACTTAGTTTTCTAATTTTCATTTTAACATAGTAACATTTAAGTTTATTAAATAAGTCAAAAATTTAGCCGTTGCAAACTTTAAAAACATAGTAAATTTCAAAAACTAGACATTTTTTTTTAAAAAAAATACACTTAAGGCCCACGAACCCGTCCCGTCCCATCCCGTTTGTTAGCGGGACGGGATGGGACGAACGTTTCGTCCCGTTTGTCCCATCCCGTTTCGTCTCGTCTCGCCTCCATCTCGCTTAAATATCGTCCCGTCCCGTCCCGTTGGACAGCCATAATGAGTTCAAACCTTTTCAGATTTGGAATTCTTTAAGAACTTGTATTCTAGATCTAAAAATTTATTGAAGGAAATCAAAAGGGTATTGATTAATATTTGTGAAATTGTTTAGGTGAAGCTCGTACTAGAGTTTGAGATTCATTTGGTGATGTTTTTTGACCTATTTTGTATGGAGCTTCGTGAGCTGAGTACCAAGGAAACGGAACCCAATCTATTTATAAATTTGTATAATAGTCTATAACAATATAAAATATGTATAAATATCTCTTCTATACTAGTAATATATACTTTTAAACAAGATTGATACATTAATTATAATAAGTGTATAATAATGTATAAATGTACGTACATTATTGCAAAAAGAATGTTGGCTATACAGACAAAAACTTAAAAACATGACTACAGAAGTGCAATACAGTTCAGACTGTATTTTGTGCAAAATTTCCTTCTTAAAAAGTAACGTTGTAAAGAAAATTAGAAAAATATGTTTTTACAAAAACTTTTCTCTAAGACTTCAAATTCCTTTTTAGACAAATAAGCGCCACTTAACTGTCATGAAGATTTCTAGCCTATTTGGCCAAAAGTATTCATTTTCTTCTAAATACAACTTTTTGGAAAAAAATAGTGCTTTTGATTAGAACAAGAATTTATTTTTGAGAAGAAGAAAGAGTAAGTTTTGTTCAAAAGTACTTTTTTTAAACAAGAACACTTGTAAGAAAATAAATCTTGAAGCATTTTTTAAAAGTTTGACCGAGTACTAATTGATGCTCAAAAATATTTTTCGAATTGATTAGTCAAACACCAAAAGTATATTTGAAAAAATTCTTTTAAAAAAGAACATTTATCAAAATAAGGTGATTTTAGAAATTCCAAATAGGCTATTAGTTGATAAGAAGTACAGTAAGAAGTATGAAAAATTTCTGCAGTCCTTTAAGCCTAAAAATTTGATTTGTTTTACATATTTCTTGTACAATTTTCAAAAGCGTATATTTTGTTGCCATATTATCTGGATATACAGTAACCCCTCGATTCTCAACATTTTTGCATCTTTGTCTTTTTGTGAGTCTTAGTTTTCTTTCTCCTTTTTGGTTTATTGGTATCAGATCTGATAGAGAGTTCCTTTATCATGTTATCGGAGAAGTTATCAAAGCTGGCGCAACAGGCTTTTGCATCGGTGATACTCTTGGATGCAATTTGCCCAGTGAATTTGGACAATTAATTGCTGACATAAAAGCCAATACTCCAGGAGTCGAAGATGTAATCATTTCAACACACTGTCACGACGATCTTGGCCTTGCTACTGCCAACACCTTAGCTGTATGTGTTCAATTCCTAATTTTATGTCTAACAGTAGCGCATACACTGACTGTAAAGACTAAATTGCCTAATAAAATACTCCATTGAAGTTTACATGTGTTGAATTTCAGGGAGTGTGTGCAGGGGCAAGATTAGTAGATGTGACTGTCAACGGCATTGGTGAAAGAGCTGGAAATGGTTCTCTAGAGGAGGTCAGTTTGTGTTTAAACTTTTGTACAAATAAACTTCAATATTATTTGAGGTCCATAGACTTAAGAGAAGTAATGGCATAGTTGAAAAATATATGGGGATTCTTTTGCACTTTTCACTACTTATATATGGTCCATTTCGCTTAATTCATCTTTTAACTTTCCCTTTACTGAAATAGATTGTGATGACACTAAAATGTCGTGGAGAGCAAGTACTCGGTGGTCTCTACACTGGGATTAATTCAGAGCATATAATCGAGACAAGCAAAATGGTACTACTGTACCTCTACTCTTAGCTAGAGATATTTTACCAGTTTTAAAGCTGCTTTTTTTTTTTTGGTGCTTTTCTATTGACCAATTTTATTATATTTGTAGGTAGAAGAGTACAGTGGGCTTGAGGTGCAGGCACATAAGGCCATTGTTGGAGCTAATGGATTTTCCCATGAAAGTAGCCTCCATCAGGTTTTGTGTTATTTTGTCTAATTAGAAGTTAATTAGTAGATGCAAAGGATACACCGTCAATCATAGATTACTGATTCAGGATCTTGTCACCTACTGATGCAGGAGTAAGACTGTGTTGTGGGCCGGGCCCAGCCCGTGACCGTTTGCAAACGGGCCAAACCCTACCGGTCCTAAAAGTCCACAGTGGACTGGTCCTCACCAAATAGCTCGCGAGACCGGGATCGGCAGGTGGGCTTGGGCCGGTTCAACCAGGCCAAACGGCTATAATTACACTTTTTCAAAAAAATAAAAAAATAAAAAAGGGCAACGGCCTGAAATTTAAAAAGTAGCCATTGGCCTTCAATTTTAGCCGTTTGGCATTTTCAAAAATAGTCATTTGACCCCCAAACTTTGTTTTAACCCCAAACTTTTTATAATTACACTTTTTCCCTATTCTCAACTATAAATACCTCCTCATTCTTTCATTTTTACTCACAAATTCATCAATCTCTCTAATTTTCTTCTATAATTGTTTACTTTATTATTGCAATTTCGTGAAAAATTGTGAAGTTGGTGAATTGAAGTATTCAAGTCTTCAACGATATTCAATTTTCAAGAAGTTGTTCGTCACTTCGGTAAACTCGTTTCAACTCTTAAGTTTTAATATTATAGTTTTGTTTGTTTAGTTAGTATAATTATAATTAATATGGACTTTTCTTTGAAAAAAATATTTGGTGGTAAGGGTAAGGGAAAATCTAAAATTGGTGAATCAAGTCGCCAAGCTACTACTCTTCCCCCGGCTCCCCGACCCAGACCTGTTATCCGTCCTCCTCCACCTGTTATCCGTCCTCCTCCACCTGTTATTCTTGATAGTGATAACCCTTGTTTTCAATTTTCCGATAGTTAATTTTGTCATGATGTTGCACCAGGTCAACAATTAAATGATGAAATTATGAATGTTCTTTATCCTAATCAAACTATCTTTGAAAATGATGAGGAAAATGATGATTTAGATGAAACGCAACCGGATTTAGATGATACACCTACTAGTCCTGTTAATAACTCAGCTGATAATAATCCAAATGATGCCCCGCTTGACCTTCCTGTAGTAACCCCCTACTTTTAATAGACAACCTTCTAAACGGCCCGAAACATCTCTTGTTTGGCACTTTTTTACTCAACTAAGAGAATAAAATAAGGTTAAGTGTAAAACTTGTGGGTCTTTAATGGCTCACAAATATACTGGAGACCGTAGCAGCGGGTTCAAATCAAGTAACAATCAATTTGACGATAATGAAGATTTTCATCCCAAATAAAATCATTTTGAAATACTACATGAAGACTTTCAACCATATATTTTCAACATTCTTATTGCTGGGTCTTTAAAACCAAAAGGTTTTTTTAAACCCGTGGTCACTTTTAATGCACGTGGCTCCAATTTTAACTCATACCCGTTTTTAATAATGACAAACAACAGTGATGAAGAAAGAAGGTGAATCAAAATTCGTCAAGAAAATTTAGGTGAAGGGGAGAATTGTTAGGATTTTGCCCTGAATATTTTTATCTATTAGGACTCTATTTCTTGAAGGAATGAAAAAAAACTCCTAAAAAGAATAAATATCTTTCATATGTCTTATCCTTTTGTTGGAAAAATTTTGTACTTCTATAAATTGACGTTTTTTCCTCACAACAAGAATAACAACAATCCACAATGTAGTCATTAAAAAGTCTTGTTTAGGAGAGATTTTTCTCTCAATAATTTTTATATTTTTATACTAATTTTTATATGTAGATCAATTTACCAAACCCCATTATAATGTCATATTCTTTAGTATATTTTTTACTTGTTTGATTTATTGTCCATCAACTTTGCATTGTTAGCTTTTGCATGCGTTATGTTATTTCGATCCCAATATAAAGCTAGTAACTTTCGAGGTGCCATGAGGGTATTTATGAGACCCCTATCATTTTTTCTTATATTAAAAGAAAATATTTAACCAGAATAGATCATCATTTTGTACAATAGATTGAGTACATCACAATCCAATAGAGTTACAGATTTGTTTGACTTAATTGGATTTTATAGGACGTGGTAGTTTAAATTCGTATAAAACTGGTTAAATAGAATTTCTATTACATGAGGATCATAGGAGAAAGGAAATATATAGTTAGAATCAAACTCACAGTTATTGTACGTGAAAGACTTTTATCGGTATCATTAAATTGTTCGTATTCCGCTATAGTTTAGGTTTAAAAGGGTCCTCCCTCAATTTCAATTGTGACGACACATTTTGCTTATCGATAATTAATTTGATTAAATTTTGAGGCTAAACTAGATTAGTTCAACTCAATATTTCAAAATTGAAATTTGGATATTCACAAATAATACGAAAAGTACTATAAGTTGTAATTTTTCTCATGTCAATATGATCAATTTTTGTAAAAAAAATATTACAATTTAACTTTCGATAAGCGAAATGTGTCATATAAATTTAAACGGATGGACTATGTATTTATACCTCTTCCACTCTCATGTTTTGTCAACAAGGGTTCTTTTGTTCGAAGTAAATATTGAAGTGACACTGAAGCCATGACTTTCACCTCTAACCAACAAAAATCAGGTGAGTTGGTTGTTGGAGACCTTCTTTTTCAATCTACCTTCTCTTTTGTCACTCCTTAGGAACTCTTTCGCACTCTCTCGACATGAGAACATGGTTTGAGATGAAGGAAACTCAATTAGAAGTCATCATATGTATTATGTATATATGAAGTTAAAGAGAACTGAGGGGGTTATGGACTAATTATACGTGCTAGTGGTTTTCAAACATCTTTTCACTTTTAGTGTTTTTTTTTGCCAGCTATCAATGAGAGATTTCATGTTCGCACACTCCAACAAATATTTAGCTTTGAATCTTGCAAGTAACACTTTTGTGTACGATCGAAATCGAGCTCATTTATTGCCTGAAAGATTGGGATTAAAATGTAATGAATTAATACCGACCCCGGGTTCCATCGAACCAGTTGGATATGAGATTAGAAAACCCGTCATCGAGATTAGGAGGTCCTCACTTTTGGTACATAAAAATTTATAACACTTTATCACTTTCAGCTGAGGAATTTGCTACACTTGGAGATGCAAAAACCTCAATTAAAATAAATGCTCAAACAATTTATAATGCTTATCAACTTGCCTTAGATCATGCTAGAACAAATGTTCCAACTCCTACTTCGTCTAGTTTCCAATCATCTAAAAGAACTGCGGGCCTAAAAGCCCTTAGTTCTTGGACGGAGTTCAGGAGTTCTCAAGGTGATAATATTGGTGATAGTTCACAACTAAATGAGCTTCAAGTTTATTTGTTGCAGGGACTTGAATCAGAGAATCCCGACGGCTCCTTCGATGTTTTGGAATAGTGGAAGGACAAACAAAAATACTATCCGGTTCTTTCAAGGATGACTCGAGATATTTTAAGTGTCCAAGCTTCAACAGTGACATCGGAGAGCGCTTTCAGTCAAGCGAGGCTTCAAATTGGTGATCATAAAGTGTATATGAGGGAGATCTTGGAAAAATCAGTACTCTACAGAGATTGGATCCGTTCGGAAAGAAGAAATTTTGGACTTGCAGAATCACAAGCGGAGATAGATGAAGCTTATGAAGAAATGTTGCGGAACTTGCACAGGATGCTGCTTCACCCGGAAGCGGTGATGAACAAGCTTCTTTTCCACCACCACCAACGGAAATTCCTCCGAACCTTGAAGGATTTATGAGATTTGTTAGAGATAATACGTAGACTAATATGTAGCTTGTACTTTGGCACATCTTCCTTAGTTTTTCCCCTTTTAATGGTGGTATTAATACCTTGTTGTGCTCATTCCATTGGGGAGAGGAAGACTAAGAAAGATATTGTCATTTTTTGTTAATGTCCTGATAATAAAAATTATTNATATATATATATATCTAAATACATATAATATATATAAGGCAATATATATATATATAGTTTACAAGAAATTGCCTTAGATAAAAAAAAATCAAAAAAATAGCCCGAAACACTTAGGCTCGTTTAGGCCCGTGGGCCCGACCCATTTAGCCCTGGACCATGTGGGCTTAGGCCCACAGTGGGCCGGTTCCACCCATCCGGACCGTTTAGCTCGGAACCGCCAAAGTCCGGGACCGTTTGGCCCGGACCGTTTAGCCCATTTAGGCCCGAGCCCGGCCCAGAATACAGCCTTATGCAGGAGCTTGTCAATTAATTATGTAGCAGCTTGTCAACAATGAAGCAGCGTGTAACGCAACAGTTTACCTTTCTTTTGTCTTCTAGTGGATTTTGTCCCACATTAATTGTTGAAGTAAATCTACTCAAGATATGAGTCTATAGGAAGGCCTTACGAGCTTTAAATAAGAACCATCTCTACATTGAGCAAACATTTATATGAAGCATTGTGCTCTAATTTTTTTTTTTTTTTGGTGGTAAATATATTTTCTATTATTTGAGAACAATGTACAATTATAACAATTTCCCCTAAAGTTAGACATGCAACCTCAACTTTATCGTACATCAAGAACTTCTTCGACTTTATCTAATACACACAAATTCCTATAGTATTTAGAAAATACCAACTAGTTGCACCTGGCTAGAAGTTCTCACTTCTACATCATGGATAGAAATTCACTGCAATATGCTTGGTTAGCCTTGGCAGTTTACTCCCTCTGCAGTGTACATCTTGTATGATCATCATTGTAATCACATCCGCTGGTCTTCTCTTGTTTTGGAACAATTTTAGGTTCCTTTCCCGCCAAACGTAGTAAATGCTCTCAGAGAAAGCCATCATATAGATTTCAGCTTTCCCACATTTATCATTTGCATTGCGTACTGCCTATGATATCCCCTCATTCCATTCCAATACAACTCTTTTAATACTTTTCCATTTTAGAATTTGCTGCCATATCTTAGCTGCCACATTGCACTCAAAGAATAGGTGTTGAGTGGTTTCTTGGTCTTGCTCACACAGAGGGCATATTGGACTACTTTGGATTGCCATTTGATTAGTCTATCTCTCGTGTACAACCTGTTTTGCACTGCCATGTATAGAATGAATGACCATCTTGGATTGCTTTGGTTATTGCATATTAGCCTCCTCCAATGAGTTTTGGGGTAGTCACTCTTCATCTTATTATACATTGCCCTTATTGAGATGTTGTCCATGTTCATGATCTCTTCTACTGTTAAGCCAGCATCCTCAAGGTATTATCCTGCTTTGAGAATCTTTTGCACAACCCAGGAGACTTGCTTTGGATTCACTCCTCTTATTGTATTCCCCTTTATATAATATGTATGAACCCACCTGATCCATACTATTCCATAAGGCAATGTTTGTTACATTTATGCCTTCTGCTACTTTAGGTAGACATAGTTTATCCTAGGCAATCAGAGCCTTTTTTGAACAT